GAATAAGGAAATGGTAATATGAAAACATGAAAATGAAGAACAATGGAAAATTAAAAAATCCTATTGTTCTGACACTTTATAACGTTCACTTGGTAAGGAAATGCATTCATGCAAAATGCATGTAGTTAAAACTCATCGTGGATTTACGGAATTGCAGGAATATTTACGCGATACGTTGTATGCGTATATTAGCAATATATTACCCGTGACGATTAATCCATGCGATAATTAGTATCACATGATTTAGACAAGAACAATGCAGCAGTAATACCCAGGTCAAAGCCATGTGATACTAATACTAATCATCACATGGATTGAGTCGTCTTAGGCAGATTAGGTAACATCGTTATGCTGTACACATGGAGCTAAGAATATATCGATATTTTTTTTAACAAGTCGAAATGTCTTAAATTAGATGCTCGACATATTTGGAACATTTAAAAAAAAAAGAAAATGGAGGGAAACCGTTTTAGCGGGAGTTTTATTTACTATAGTAAGGTATCAGTGATTTTGTGAAATGACAATAATGATAATAATAAGTATAATAATTTTCACGATAATGGTTCATATCATTTTCTTATTATATTTTGTCATGAGACAGAGTTAAAAATAATGAAAGATTCTAAATATTCCTGAAAAGCCGTGTTACGTGTACTTGAGCATTCCTTGTACGATTGAATTAGTAATACGTAGAAGATAATAATAAAAATACCCCAAGAATAAATTGTTATATATTTAAAACTCGCAGGAATTTACAGAATAAATAATATTTACAAGCTTAATATTATCTTAATCGGTTCTTCGCGAACTTGTAACATATGAAAACATAAAAACGTCAGAACTTTTATTTTGGAATACAAATATCCGAAAGAAGAAGACAATTCTACATCACCGTCGTGAAAAATCCACTCGTTTTGTTTGTTTGCTATAATCGTTTCATCAATTTCTCATCACAGTCTCAAGAAATTTGTACATATATGTATATGCAAGGATTTTAGGTAAATGTATTTATATATTAACAATGGGTAAAGATTAAATGAATTCGAAAGTATTGTTCTTTGAAACACTATAGTTGCAGAAATAAGCATAATTTTCATTTTTTTAGTCACACAGATGTTTAAATCTGGGCCTAAAGGTTTTATTTCAATAATGTTGTCCGCATATGAACATTGTCCTATGCTGTTTTTTTCTCGTGATTTTACGGAGCCTGGTAACACTGCACTGCTGCTTAACCTACAACTCCGTTTATTGATGTCCAAGTAGGTACAAGATTTTCATTAGTATTTCGTCCTTTAATGCTATGTTCTCAGTAAATATATAAAGATGCTTTGTTTTTTCTCAAGACCTCGTTCACAAACTCGATTATAATCCTAAAGAAGTATTAGAAATACTTCAAAAACAAATGACTAACGCCACGACACCATTCACATCTGTTGATCAATGCGTTCCAAATTTGAAGACCATTACTGTTAGCAATGCAAATGTTTCTCCACTAATAAAGGGGATTCCTGCAACTTACATACTCGAAAAATTACACCAGCTCGGACCAAGTTATTTTAATGACAAATCAACAGCATTTGCTGAACTTCACATTGAAGGAAACAGTAAATTCTATTGGGTACATAAAGAATATCTTGTTCTTCAATCAAATCTATTTAATGAAATATTTGATAATGTTTCGAATGGTGATGTCATCACAATAACACTCCCATCTCCCGACGCATTTGATCCGATCCTCGAATACTTTTATGATGGAGATGCTGATAAATTTTATGATAGTTTCACTTTGGACAATTTTAAAAGCATTTGGGAAAATGTTGAACTTCATGAAAGGGGTGATGAAGCTAGAACTCCCGGTCTCGGCTACTCCCGCAACGCATGCCTAGACGACCGGAAATAAGATTTGACACTCG